CTGGGAGAAAAAAAACAAAAAACACATAGACACTACACCGGATAACACCCACAAAATCAAAAAACCCGCACTACACCGTAAACATACACTTCAAAAAAAAACACACTAAATACAAAACACACACTGCATCACAAACACACACTTCACTGAAAACAGGCCCAAGTAGCTAATTGTCTAATGAAATTATTATTTTATTATCTTTTTTATATTTACTATTATACTATACACTGGTAAAAGTATTATATATACACATATACTATAGGATATGAATCAATGAACTTCACGAGTGAAATGTGAAAAAAACAAAAAGAAAATTAAGAAACATATATATATATATATCATTATCAAGATTCGCAAGTTCATCACGTAAAGGGAGTCAGGAATCATATAAGATTTACACATAAAAAATTCGTATAGTTTTTTCTTACTCTACAATGTGTAGAACCCAGCATTTCGTTGATCCTCGTAAAAAATGTTCTACTTCCACTAAAATAAACTCCGGATCTAACAAGTACCGTTAACTTGATTGACTTGTCTGAGATCTCTATAACAGTTCCATTAGCTGATGGGCAACATCTGCATCGAACAATCATAAGCCAGTTACAAAGATTGATCTCTAATACAATCATCGACTTTCTTAACCACCGTCTCACAATAATTAGGTAGCACAATAATTATTTAATATTCAGTGACTATGGTTCAGTTTACTTCAATTAAATCAGATGTACAAGTTCAAGAAAATATTACATACCTTTAAGTACGGATGGTGTTGTATGGAATTCGAGCCAAACATCATCGGACGAAGCAAGATTCATGTTCAAAAATTTCGCAGCAAGGTAGGCAGCTCCACCAGCTATCTGGTGAGGTCTGAACTGAAGCCACAGTGAACTTCTAAGCCTGCAAAAAGAAAATAATAATTATTAAAAGAAAAAAAACGAAAAATCGGAATCTTGATTTCAAAATTAACACTATGAAAATGTAATCAGGACACAGATAGAAACAAATACGAGATAAGTAGATCCAAACCCATTTGAAGAAACACTAAGAATTGTACCGATGCGGTCGTAAGGTCGATTGAATGTATTATGTATTATCATGAAATAGTTATGCGCGAAGAATAAATATACACAAAAATCAAAGCAATTTTCCCTTACCAAACTAATAAAGCAGCAACCAAGATGGAGAAAAAAATTCCAAGATTCTTCTGCAGAACTTTGATCGATATAAAAATATACGTCACACCCCTCAACAGAAATATCAACTTCAAGTCCAACTTCTGTTGCCCATAGTACAACAACACCATGTTGACTTAAATATCCCCAATCAATGTTCATATCTCCCCAAAATTTTAAAGTGAAATTCTCACAATATACATGCCTCCATACTTACTCGACTGGAAAAATGCCAGCATATCATTCACCCGGGACACCATGTATCAATTCATTAATTAGACTTAGTAAAGTAAAATATTTATGTACAACACTCTGACAAGCAATGAAAAACGTAGAGATACGTCATTTGAGGTGAACGGTATGTCAAATTTTCAAAATGGAAAAGTATATTTGTAGAAGGAACTGAAACAATGCAAAAATAGTACTCTTTTACTTCTTACTTCCTTAGTTAGAAAACAACTAATGCATACAAAACACGGGAGGGGGAAAATGGCAATTGGGTCCATCTTAGACAATGTTCTAAATACAGGTGCAAGTACGAATTATTATTAAGTTAGCATGTCGCTACAAGGAAAAAAATTATATATATTCGTGTTAAGAAAGTTCTTTTTTAATGAGGTATGTTAAGAAAATTAATGTTTTTCAATACAGTATAGAACATTCTACATTCTGCACCTAGCTACAACATAATTTGACCACATAATTCCACCTATTCTGAGAAGAATTAAAAGGTATAAGCATTGAGTGTCAAGAAGAATAGACCAAAACGTAAGGAAAAAGGAATACGAAGGGTGATGTTCCTTCATGTATGCATGTAGAAAAGAGCACATTCGCCTTTTTTATAACGGTTTTCATTATTCCCCGTCATTTCTAACTCCGCAGATGTTTTTTTTCCAACTCAACAAAGACATGGAAATCCCTCTACACCCCCACACTCCCATACCCCACCCAAAAATAAACGAAACAAATCGAACATGATCAAAAGAAAAGAAAATTTGAAACTTGTGAATGATTTTCCTGGACGATTAGTCCAAACAGGTTGATATTGTAGCTCAAGACTCGAGTACAAGAGGACCGGCAGGAAAGTGCCAAGTTCACTTTCAAAATCAAGAAATCAATTAGGGACCCTCTCTCTTTCTGCAAGTGCAATAATTATAGGTAAGACGAGGAAACAGGGGTGGGTGTCTTTTAGTGGGTGATGTGCAATGGTAGGATGAAAACTGAAAGGCGTAAATGTAAGAGGCAAATGGTTTTTGCAGGAAGGAATGAAGAGTCGAAGACTATCTTGGCAAAATATTCACAAAGATTCTTCTGCCTAATCACCGGCATCCTATGGGGAATCAGAGTGAACAGGCAGAAGAATATCCAATATGGAAAAAGGCATCCACAAGATATCTCTAGTGCAACTTCAGATCAAAAACAAAAACATTCGACGAACAGCACATCAACCGCCAGATACTAATATACCATAAGGTGAGCATGCTAATCCTCTATAGATCCTGCAATTATAAGCCAATCCAAAAACATCAATATTCACATTCCATAATGAATGCAGATAAAACAGGTGACAGCTGGCACACAAAAAAAATCGAAGTAAATTCTCACAGTAATCTTAATTTCAAGTATAGTCTTTGAAATCATGCCACGTGTTGATCTTATTGAGTCTTTTAATGCTGAAATACTCGATCTTTGCATCAAAAGAATCACTACGATTTAGTAACTGCTAATCGGTAAACTAGTTATAGTAGACTTACCCTTCACTGACGAAGTTCAGAGCCAGATTCACTATGACGGATTGTTGAAAGCCCAATTTTTTAAGAGTGGCTGTCAGAGATTCAAACGGATGCTGCACATTTAGCTCGAAATTTAAGGTTGTTAGGATCAACTGCTCAGCCTCAGTTATACGTTCCCGATATTGTTCAAACCAACCCTGCTCGAAGAAAATTATGCATAAAGCAAATCAAATACATTACTAAAAGTTCCATTCATGAAAACAGCAAATTCAACAAATTTATGGTAACGGATTACCAAAGGTCAGTAAAATAAGTATTTCTTTCAACTTTGCAAAAGGACATAAAATTAGTATGCAAAGAAAAGAAGAGAGGGTACTAACAATGGGCAAATTATACGAGAGAAGCCTAACATCCTGCTTGTGGAGAATTTGACACGACAGACTTATTACATCATCAAGAGGTCGAGCTGTCTCCTCGGACTTCGCGGCAAGGAAAAGGACCGCAGTAGCTATCAGCTGTAACAATAAAACAATCAACAATTAGCTTCTCCAAACAGCATCATAAATTTCGATAAATGCTAGAAATTAAAAACTACCGAAGAAAAAAAAATGCCAGATTCTTGAAAATCAAAACTCACAAATCTATCATGAGAAGCGTGAGAGCGGCGAACGAAGAAACGATGGCACAGAACCATGGCAGTTCCAATAGTAGTTTGTGGTCTGCAAAATGCACAAAAAAAAAATCCCAATATTAGAATTCACCAATTAAAACATAGCAGGAGAATAAAAAATATTTCTTACAGATCGAGGCTAACTCCAAGATTCTGAAGGAAGGCACAATACGAGTAGCGAAGATGCGTCTCGTGTAGTGGATCAATACCATCTTTTCTCGAAGGAGAGCACCTTTCAATCTCATCTCTTGACATAAAAACCACTTCGTCATCTTCAAATTTCGACCGATCGCGCTTTGAGCTAGTCGAAGCATACAAACTGTCATCATTACTCCTGACCAAATGGGAAGCACTATTGTCTTTGGGAGGTTTGTGCTGGCCCGCGTAATTCACATAATCATTTCGGTACGCGTATTGATGTTCATAAGGCATACCCGTGCTTTCACAAGACAAATCCGAAATCTTTCTCTTTTTCGAACAAGGTACAGAGACAGGCCAAGTACAGTCGTAACTGAGTCCATCCAGCCTATAATTTTGAGATAAATCACGATACGAATCACGATTAATGGCAAAATTGCCCATTCCAGCATACGATGTTCTACAATCTCTTCGTAACTTGCCACTTTGCGAATGACGTGGCGGCTGCACAAGCGACATAATTCCTGTTCAATTGAGCATAGTGAGAAACCATACAAGAATACGAGGAATAAAGTAAAATTGCATTCGATAATAGCTTTTTTCAAGTCATAACAGAACGAAAAATTTATTTTTTGATTTTTCGTTGAATTAACCGTGTGCTTATAGATTCTAGAACCCCAATCCAATAACCACAAAGAAAGATATTCAATTTCAAAGAATAACGACAGAAACATACAAAATTAACTCATTTTTTTCGCAATCCGATTAGCTACTTCAAACAAACAAAATTCTCTGCCAAAAAAAAAAAATCAAATCTAATGCCTGTTGATTCAACATCCAATTATCTAGTAACTGTAATCACATAAACAAAAACTTAAATAGAATAATAACGCAGAAAATGGGTATCCAAGGGCAATCAACTACCGAATTAACTCTTAAAATCCCCCAAAAAAAAAACATGGCGCAATTCGAAATTGTAAAAGAGAAGTAAGAGATCATCAATTTCATACCTCAACAGCAGGGAATTAGAGATCCAAGATCTGAAAACAGATCGCCGGCGAATTAATCTGAAAATATCCGAATTGTTCGAATCCCTCTGCGGAAGGAAGAATAATAATAATATTAAAGGGAATAATAATAAAAGCAACTACAGAGAAATTCTTTCAATAAGAAATAAAGGGGAAAAAAAACAATTTGATTTAATTTTGAATTGCAAATGCATTTCTTGTATTTAAATATATTTTAATGAAAATTGAACACTAATTATTTATTTATTTAGGAAAAACATTAATTAAATGAAGCATGCAATGGGAAGTCAAATATATTCGTCTCCATAGGCTATAATTAATTCCCCCATATTACTTGTATTCTTTTTCATTTTCTTTTAATAAATATATATATATATTAATATCAATATTAATATATAAATGAGCTACATATTAATATGTTATTCTGATATCTGACTGGGCCTTTTATTGGGCTCATAAAATTTAAAAAAAGGCCATGACCCAAATCAAACCTACTTGACCCCGAAATACGAAAACCCAAAAATCCGAAAACCCGAAAACATAAATTTAGGATCTTTCCATTAAAATTCCGTGTTAATATGTCAAATTAATTATAATTTCATGTTATTGTATCTAAATTTTGATTAATCGTTACACAACTATATACTCCCTCCGTCCCAATTTAAATGACGTTTTGGGTTGTTACACACATATTAAGAAAATCAATAAATGTGTATAGATTATAGTGAAAAGCATAGGAAAATACTAATATATCCTTGACATTAATTATTTTACAACTAACAAATTAGGAGTGATAAAGGGTAAAATTGAAAATAATGCAATTAATGATGCATTGAAAATCTAAAATGACAAATAATTTGGGACAAAAAAAACTCTCTAAAAAGACATATAATATGGGACAGAGGGAGTACTATTTATATACTTATTCCGCACATAGATTAAATTTAATATAATTGAATTAATGCCGTATCTTTTTTATCGAGATTATTAATATATCGAGATTCTATTTTTACGAAAGTTTATTTTTTTATTTTTCAAAAAGTATGAGTAAAATCTTGATTAAGATTAGAACAGTGGCGTGTGCCAGCTTGAATGCCTGGATTAGTAAATCTAATTAATAGCTGTCTAACTTGATTAGTGTGCCATGCAATTAATTAGCAATAATAAGATTAAAAGCGTGTTTAGGGAGTGTAGTTTCATCTTATTCTTCAGTGCCACGTGATAACGAGTAGCTTTTTCACATGAGTCAAGATCAAGGTTTGTTCTAATTATTAGTAGATTAACATTAAATCACAGTAATTAATTGTTGCTTCAGTAAGATAATATACTATATTATATTATGGCTAATCCCATGTTATATTTCTATGTTTTTTGTCGTGACATGCGGATGAAATTAGCCAAATTAAGACTATTTGGAAACTATGAAGTCAGAATTTTTATTTTCAAAAAAATATATAACTATTTTTTTATCCTCGGATACCACCAAACTTTTTAATTTTGAATAATGGTATTATTTTGATATATATATGCCATCTCACAATTTAAAAAGATAATTAAGAGTACATATATAGAATAGTCCAGATTCCAAAACTCAATTTGTCGTTTAATTAAGTGTACATACATGTAAAGAAGATGTTTATTTTTTATTTTTATTTTTATTGTAGTCATATATATATATATATATATATATATATATATATATTGGAATTCTTAGTCAACCAAGTCATTCCTAGTTATATAATTTGAAAATTCTTGCCCCCTTCGAACACTAGCCGTCACGCATTCACGTTATGCATTCGCGTCACTCATTCGCTAACACTTACAGTAATTCATAATCACTCATAATTATACGCACGCATCCAATATGAAGCCCTAGATCCACCACTGTCACCAACGCCATAGTCATCGCCTCCACTATTGTCATAAATACCCCCATGCATCATAATCAGAACCACCACTGCCATTGCAGCCGCCATAAACCACCCTCACCTCCACCACAGTCATTCCGCCGCCTCCACTACCACCATGATCGCGCCTCTAGAATTGCGACCATCACCGCCATAGCCATCACACTCCCTCGACTATGGAGTGAAGTGACGGCAAGGGACATAGAGGAAAACAGAAAATAAATCAGAGAAATAGATCTCGAGAGAAACGTAAATATAAGATACACTACAAGAAAAATGACTTTCAACAACACATAATTGACAACGTGCATGAAAAGTATGTTGTAATATTATATATTCTACAACATGCTTTTAATGCATGTTGTTATTAGCGACAACTCAATGTATTTTACAACACTCTTAGGTTGCATGTTGTTAAACTAACCTACTACAAGGTGCATTAGCACATTGTAAAATTATTCAATGTTCAACCAATATAACAAGATGCGTTGTTTCTTGTCATTATTTACTATATACTACAAGATGCACTTGCATGTTGTAAATTTATTCAAATTTTGTTGAATGAACAACCAGTTTAAGAATTGTCGGCATTATTATTTATGTTACCATGTCTTGTTATAAGTTCTAACTTTTAAGACCACACATTTAAAAAAAAAAATTTAAATTAATTAATGTTACTTTGTATTGATATATAATATAATGTGTTCTAGTGCTAGTAGTTTTTTTTTTTCTTTTTGAGGAAAATCTACTGGTCGTAGTTTATGAGTAAAATAATTGTAAATATATATTACATATATATAAGAGCGGATGTTGTCAATTATCCCCACATTATTTTCTTTCCCCTTTTTTTTTTGGCCCCCAAACATGTAAAACGACGTCGTTACCTGCCGCTGCCTTCTCCTTTTCTTCGATTTTATTTCTGCCCTTCCCCCCCTTCTCACGTTCTTCCCCTCACACTCGTTGGCCACCGTCCAGGGGGAGAGGTTCAATTTATATACACTGCACATTGCCCTTTCATCCAACATCCGCCGCTGCCTCTTTTCGTTAAAGCTATTTTTCTTCTCTGATGCTCCCATTTTATTGAATATTATTATATTTTATTAAAGCAATTCAGCTACAAGAAGGACGTTCGCCCGGAGGCCGATGCGGCTTAGTGTGTGGCTACGGTGGTGGTGGTTTCTTATTTGGCTTCCGCAGTGGTGGATGCTCCTCCTCCGTCGGTGGCTCCTTAGCACCGCACTCCGTCAAGCGCGTGGGCCCCTTCTGCTTTTTTTTTTTTCTTGCCAAAACAGAGTCTTACGACCAGATAAACCTCCACCGCACACGAAGACAGGAGACAGCCATCAAACAACGAATTATTCGATTCGATTTCTCTATGTAAGGTCTCTCTATGTCTCTCGTTTTTGCTGGTGCACCCCAAATTGATTTTATATATGCAGAATTTTTTTGCTTAAACTGTGATCACCTCTATCAATCTATGTAGGTATATATTATATTAAGTTATTGTCTTTTGTAATGAAAGGTAATGGCTGAATTGCAAATAGAAGAAGTATTGGTCTAGAAATCAGAACTGGTTGTTGTAGGGATTTCTAGATGAATATTATATTGGTAGTTTGATGGGTTTGTAGGATATAAAGTACTGTGAGTAACCTTTTGCAGTTTGAATTTTTCTTCAAGTTCCTTTTATATATCGAAGAAGAACATGTGTTGTTATACAAATAAGATTCCCTGAACCATTTTTGCTACTTTATGGTGACTAACAAAAGAGAAAGATCTTTTTTTTTCCAGGAATGTCCATGTAATCATTCGCTTGAGATCTGATGACTTGGGCAAACATAAACTAGCAAATTAACAAATTTTGGTAAGAATTTGTTTATTCATGGTAGTGAGGTTGGCATCAAATGTTTTTTATCGGACTTGCTTTCACTATTGTTTATATGCTCATTTTAGTAGCTTTTATTTTCTCATAATCGACAGGTTTGTACTTTAATAAGTCTAGAATACTTTCGAGATTCTTGTTTTGGTAGCAGGATTGATGCCGGACTCGGAAATTAACTTCAGTTATAACAATGTGGTAAGTATTAATATAGTATATAAACTTTTTCTCTTACACATAAACTATCTCTTACATGATTGATTATAGTCTAAGTGTTGCAGCTACGTAGCGAAACAAGATAAGAACTCTCTCTCTCTCTCGTATTTGTTATTGAATTCAACCTTATTTTAGTAAAATAACCTAAGCTCTTTCTTCTTGACAGAGATGTTGGTATCGATGCCATGTGGTAGCTAGAGAGGTTAGCATCAATGTCCTATACAAGAGCTCTATTTTTTTTGCTTAATCAAACAAAATTTACATTGGGTTTTCTTGTTTTTTGATCATTTTTTGTTTCGTTTGTGGAAGGCTAACAGTGATGTAGATGAGTTTATCACTTTTGAGAATGATAGATACTTTATTGTAACGAATAATTATTTTAATGAAATGATATTTTTTTATGGATAATTGTATTTCCAGTAAATTATTTGAAAATGGAAAATATTGATTTATTTATATATAGTAAATTTTTTTTTGTGAAAGTAAGTAAAAATTACAACATGCATATAAATGTTGTTAAAATTCTATTGCAAGATGCACTGGTCTGTGGTGGTAACACCAGCCACAACATGCATATGAATCTTGTGAATGCTATAGCGCAACATACGATGTATGTTGTTGTAATATAAACGACAACGCCGTTTACCACGTACTTGGCACGTTGTTATTATTCGGTCACTTTTAACAACATGTTGGTCAACCACGTGCGCCCGAATGTTGTCGAAATAGTTTGACGACGTGCTTCGCGTGTTGTTAAAAGGACTTTTTCTTGTAGTGATATAAGGACAAATCAGGGATATAAATTTTTCAAATTGATACTTATTAATTAAATGCTTAATATTTTACGCAAACGTAATCTTTTATTGGTGGTATGTATAATTTATGGGATAAATATATAATAGATGGAGCAATTAAAATAAACTTATATATAAAAAAGAGGCAAAAGTCTAATAATTAGCATGTACAATCAAAATCAAATGGTCCCACTCCCCCCTCATTTCACGATAGGGACACGTGACACCTAAACAGAGCACGTGACCCAATATGACGATGCACAGAGCAAAAACATGAGACCAGGACGTTTCCGCAGCCCCATTCATCATGCATGTGATGTGACCCCGAAATTCCCATCTTACCCCTCCCTTTATTATTTTTCAATTATTATAAATTCTCATGCAAATATAAAATACTTTGAACTAAGATATATATTTCAAAATTTCAAGAAATAAAATACTAAAAAAATTTATTACCGTTTACGTACTTTTAATTTTTGTTTAATGGTAAAACAGTCACAAAATTAGATTGTTATATAAAAATTAGTATTATTTAAATTGATGATCATAGGAAGAATGTTATAAGATATTTTAAATAATTAATATTTCATAGAATTATTGAGATTTATATATATATATACTTCACTAATCATCATTATATTATATTATATGATGAGATATGCTAGAACAAAAAATTATCCAAAGACTCTTTCTCTGTGCAATTATTATTGAGTTTGTGTGGGCTATGGATATTATTAGTCCCAATAGTCCAAGATTATTAAATTAATAAGGGCTCGTTCGGTTACCTATATTGGATTAGATTGGATTACATGAAATTGGATTAACTTTCTACTGACTAATTAATTATTTAATTAGTAATATTTACGGTTTTTTGGATTAAATTTTCTATTAAATTTGTTAAAATCAGTTATTACATATGAATTGTCTATAAAACCACTTAGTTTACAATAATAAAATATGATTTTAATGATAAAATTGTATTTTTCTTTTTTAGTCACCGCCTATAAATTAATCTTAAGGGAGGGGTGCTACAAATTTAATGAAATAGTAGCATTTAATAACGGACTTTGAATTTAGTAGCGGATTTGAAAAAATGTGAATCTTACCAACCGGACATGCTATTAACCCCTACTATTTTAGTCAGTAGAACCTTATAGCGGTAACCGAACGAGCCCTAAATTATATATATTTTTTTAAAGCTAATTAAATTTTCTAGGTGTTATTAAGAGAAAATTAAGTATGCTAATCTCTAGGGTTAGTTAATAATTTAATATCAAAACTCATTTCTCAATGCCCATTAATTCATGCAACCTACATCTCTCTCTCTCTCTCTCTACTCTCTCTCTCTCTTGTAATATAAGAAGAAAACCTCTGATTTAATTTT